TTAAATAAATAAAATGTATTTAATATGTAGGGTCTTTAGTATTGTAACTTCCTACATAACCTTTCATATAAATATATTAATTATATGAAGACACAACTTTTCAGATAAATATATTAATTTATGTGAGAATACAACTCTTCAAATAAATTTATTAATTTATATGAAGACATAGCCCCTTATATAAATTTATTAATTTAATAAATTTACATCCGGGCATGACTTTTCAAAAAACATCTCTTCATTTTAAAAATATTCCAACAATTACTAGGCAGCTTATAATTTAATAGACAGACAAAAGAAAGGGGGTAGAGACCTCTCAATAAATGAAATAAAATGCCTAATAAAGGTTTTGCGTTCCTTTGAGTTATTTGAGAGTTATCCAACTTGAGTTATGAGGTTACGAATACGAGTGATTTTCTTTTTTCGGAAAGAAAAGAATAAGAAAAATATTTAATTTAAATCATAGTCTAATGGATTTGATGATTTTTATGAATCTATTTGACATCATAATTCTATATATAGACAGAATTTTGAATTTTCTCACCGTACGAGAAGAAAACTTATACGTTTCTAGGGGTGTATTGTTTACCTATTCCAATGAGCCGTTTATCGAATCGATGCAATTACTAGGCAGCTTATAATTTAAACTTTTATTTTTCAAAATGCATCCCATAGCACAGGAGGGATCAACAATGTGCTCAAAGAATAACCAAATACCTCCTCCCTTGCTCCCTCCTCCAACAATCCAAAACAATTTTGCAATAACATATAGTATCGTAAAATAATTTTTGATGTATCTATCACCATAATTAATATATTTTTTAGTAACATTCAGTATTATAAGTGTAGAAAGTACTTGTTGCTATTAGAAAAATGCTTTAGGGACAAAATTGTACTAAAATTTATTTTAGAACATTAGGTACTACTGAAAAAATATTTTAAAATGCTAAATGTATAAAAATTTTTTTTTTGATACTAAATACCAAAAAAATACTTTAGAATACTAGATATTAATTTAACACAATTTATTTTAGTAATTTTATATTATATAAAATAAATATGTGAAGAAAATTTTGTCTTATAAAATATAATACTACTCGAGTTTTTTATTTTAAGTAACTTAAAACTTATTCTCACATACCAAAAACTGTATTTATGGATAAAATTTTTCAAACACACCCTCATTAAAATTTTCTATTTCTCTTTATCTACAAATCATTCTTACCTGTTATCTCTCTTTCTCTTTCTCTTTTTTCAATAAAAATTAAATAAGAGCTCACAAAATTAGAAAATAATCGTTAAATACCCTACAAATTACCGATGTTTTTGACAAAAAAATTTCTTTACAGGAGTAGAGTGGTAGCTTTTTTTTTTTTTTTTTTTTAGTGAATTAGCGATCCCAACTCGTGGCATTAAAGGGCCAATACATGTTGCCCATGTATAAAGCTGCAATTAATGCAATCAATTTACCCACCGCGCGAGTTTCTTTTTTTTCCTTTTTCTTTTAAAAAAAAATTTAGGGAAGCCTGTCTCCTCCTTAATAATTTCCTGCTCACCAGGACTCTATCTTTCATCCTTTCTTCAGTCATCACATTTCAGAATATTCTTGCAGGTAACAACACTTCGCTCTCCTTCTCAAGAAGAAACCTCCCCTTCTCTCTGTATTTCTTACTTAGATCTGCACTTATCCTTCCTAATCTATCCTATCCAAGCCTCAAACTCTTTTTATCTTGTTGTTTCCACCTACGCCCAATCCAAGTTCTCTTCATTTTATGCTTGTCTTTTTCGTTTAACACGCAGATAATATTCTTCTGCGTAATTAATTTTTGTATGAGACTGGATTAAATCTTTAGATTTCCCTAATTCTTTCTCTTTGATTTAACTTGGTTTTAGTTTGAAGGAGAGATTGGTTGAAATGACGAGAAGGAAGATAGCAATAAAGAAGATCGAGAACGTAGCTGCGAGGCAGGTGGCTTTCTCAAAGAGAAGGAAAGGTCTATTCAAGAAGGCTATGGAGCTGTCAACTCTCTGTGATGCTGAGATTGCTCTCTTAGTATTTTCAGCTTCGGGCAAACTCTTTGATTATGCCAGTACAAGGTATCTTTTCTCTCTCTATATAATGTATATGTGTGTTCTATCACTAGGAATCAGAATAATCTGAATTTTAATCACGTCTGGGATTTTCGTTTTTGTTTAGAGGAAAAGGAATCCTGATCTTTATTTGCTGATAAAGAAGCTGTGATAGCCTATGCTTTTATTCGTCCCATTTGTGCTCTCTTCTAAATTTGTCTATATAATCTCCTTCAGTTTTGATAGAGTGGATTTCACATGAAATGGCTCTAAAAAGCACAATAACTCAACCTAGAATCTAGATTATTAGCATACCAAGTTTGACCCCATAATTCATTTGTCTATTCTTTTTGAAGTGTCAGCATTTATGTATCTCATCTGTTTGATCATCACTTACCATGTTCATGTTTTGGTGAAAATTACCTTCTGTTATGCCAGTACAAGGTACCTTCTCTCTCTCTCTCTCTCTCTCTCTAATTGAAATCATTTAGATTCAAGTTGCTTCCACAAAGTACTTCTCTTGCTGTAAGAGGAAAGCTTGAACACGATGTGCTGACCAAAAAGTTGTGATAGAGTCCTTTTGTGTGCTTTTATATGTGTGTATCTGAGAATTAATCATGTGGGTATAATTGGAAATAATGAGTAATCTCATCATAACTGTGTTTTGCTTATACCTTTAACTTTTTACTACAATGTCTTGAGGTTGCTGCTAAAATAGTTTGAACACTGAAATCTTGATAGTCTTGGAAGAGAGACCAAGGAATTTGTTCAACGTTCATGTGAATATTATGTACAATAATCAACGTTTAAAACTTAAAATAGTACAAAATAGTGGTTTGAAAATAACGAAAACGACACATGTATGGAGGAATATTAGATTTCATGAAGCTGCTTCGGTTCCGGAGGCTTTTGTTAATGTCAAGATGCTATTTTCCTTCTGTAAAAAAAATATGATCCTTGCCATAACAATCAATATAGTTATATCAATTATATAAAATCTACAAGAAACTACACTATTCACAAGTCAAGAATAATGTATTCGTCTTTGATTTCTTAAAAAAAAAAAAAAAGGCCCACAATACGCTGTTCAAGCAGTACAGCATGTCCTCTCTTCATCTCTAGGGAGATATAGTCTGTACGTGAGATAGTTTTTATCTCAACATTTTAATTCTATTTTTATTCAAAATCACTTTCAATGGTGTTGGAAAATTGTATATATTTTTTTACCATGTTTCTTTCAAAATAAAAAATATCAAAAGATGATTTAAATCTTCTAGTTTAATTTAAATGGTCTAGAGAAGTACAAATACGGCATATTTTAAAGAGGTAGGGATGTTTTCTTTTTTAGGTCAATAGAGAACATCCCAAATTAAATTTTAGTTCATAATTTTTTTGTGTTTTTTATTGATTAATTAGGTGGATTAAAACAGTTTAAAGAGGATTATGAGAACATGCTACTGGAACAGTCAGGTCACTTTTGCTTTGAAGATACTAAAAATTTTGTAAGGCTATCAACTTATAACAGATTGCTCTTGAGGTTTTCCTTGTTGTCTTCATGTTTTGATATCCATTAATGGCAATATTTAAATGTTATAATTTTGAATGAGTCTATCTGGAGTCAAGATTCGGTTAATTAAACAGATGCTATTATATTACACATTATTGTCACATATATATATCTCTAAATAAAACACGCATCTGTAATGTTTTGCCATAGAAGCCACTAAGAATAAATTCATTGGTATATATATACATGACTGATTGAATATATAAACAAATTTAATGCTGTATTTAAATTCACTTATTTTAACTATGACTTTCATTGTGCCCCTCCCCCCAGCAAAAGTATGACTTCGATTAAAATTTAAATTCGATAAATAATTTTAATTCATCAAATGATAATTTATGCTATATAATTCAGTTAGAAGTAGTTTTAAAGTATGACTTCCATTTTAATTTGCAATATTTTGTTGTTTTAAGCACGAGGCAAGTAATTGAAAGGAGAAACCTATACTCAGATGTGAACCTTGTGAAGTCATACCAGCCACCTCAAGAGCTACAGGTATATAATTTTTCTTCTGCTCTCTACCCCTTCATCTATTGCTGTTTTGATTCATCTTTCTTTTTCCCATCTCTCTGTCTGTGTGTCTGTATATAAAAAATCTTACAAAAATATTTTTGGTTATAAGACATTTTGATCGTTTCAATGAGCATTAAATATTATTCTCATATATGCCCATATTTAACAAGGATAGTGAGACAGAATAAAAATTAATATGATATTGAAATTTAGTGTGATTAATAAGGATAATATTAGAAATCACTTAAATTTTATGACAAATTTAATGCTTTTAACTATTTTTATTAGTACTTGCAAATTAGTTAGAAACGTCTTATAATATGAATATGAGGGAGTACAATACGCTTCCCTCACCCTAAATATATGAGTTAAATAACTAATTTACATATATTAAGAAAATTAAATTAGTTATTTGTTAAAAAATGTGTGTTGGTTATCCTGAAATATCCCCTCTAGTCACTGGCATTGGAAACTACACTCATTGATGAAAACTCCTTTTATTTGTGCAATTAGGACTGCCTCTAATAGGGGGATATTAATGCCTATAAAAAATAGAGATAATTTCAAGAAAAATTATAAATTTGGAATACAAAGTGAACTGAGGTCTACTTCAATTAGAACCAAAAGAAACCTCTTAACTAATATTTAAAAGCGGAGGGAGTATATTATATTACTGCTATAATTATTCAACAGTAACTTCTTTTTTAATTCAAGGATATGATGGACTATATACATACCTAATATGAAAATGCTTGGAGTATATTAAAATTTTTGTTATTGAATGTGGAAAGCATATGGCAATGGACAGGTTGAAGGTGAATATTTTAAGCTAAACAAGGAAGTAAAAGAGAAGACTCTTGAAATAAGGTATTACTATTACCATTATTAAATGGTGCTAAAGATTTTATAATGGGGGATCTACAATGTGTTTATTATAGCTTCAAATATGTTGCTCTACTCTAATAATAGACAGCTCAACGGAGAAGATCTGCAAGGGCTGTCTGTAAAAGATCTGAGGAAGCTAGAAGATTTACTTAGCACAAGCTTGCATCGCATTTCAAAAGCAAAGGTTTGCCTTTTCCTTTCATGACAGTATTACAAAAATTGAAATATTTTATGATTGTTTTATCCCGTAAATTACATTTATCAACTGTCGATTAAACAATGGCTTATTTGAGAAAAAGGAAAAATTAACAAAAAAAATATCTGTTGAATTTCAAAATGATAGATAAGTGATTTTGACCGATTTTGGCTTATTAAAATCATTACAAGAGTAGTCTAAACCATTACAAGAATAGTCACCATGGCTTATTTGTCTTTTTGAAATTCAACATGTATTTTTTTTGGTCGTTTTCCCTTTGAAATAACTGTCTAATATGCAGAGGCTATTTGACTGTTATTCATCTTGTTTAGCTCATAATATTCGATTTATCCCTTTTATAATGACAAAACTATATATTATATTTCAAATATTCATTGCAGCATAAAAAGTAGGAAGTGAATGACATAAAAATTAGATAAGGTTAAGATCTCCCTATTCTTTTATCATTAGAAAGGTCAACTAAAGTCTCTTTATAAAGCTACCTTTTTGTTCTTTGTATTTTGGCTACCATAAGGCTACTTTTTTTTTTTTTTTAAAGGGGGCTACCATAAGGCTATCGCAATCCATGGTTCCAGCGAAGAATGTTAGCAATGTTCTAAAATTCTTTCCCCTTTTGTGAAGATAATTTTAAATCACAGATTACAAATCAACTATATCCTCATAATAAAATGCATAATTTAAACATTTTCTCTTGTATTGTGTTTCAACTTTGCCTCATGCTACAGGGATCGAAGTAACCTAAATAAATTCTAGTTTTAATGCACTACATGCCCTTTAGTTATACGAAATGATTTTTCTTGTTTGATGCTCATTTGACCCTTCAACTGTGCAAGATGCAAATTAACGAGTGCTCACAATGACCGATTTAAGGCACTAACTAACCTTATCTGCATTCCTTTTATAATTGATAATAAACAGTCTCGTAATCCTCATATCCTATAGGAAAATCATTCATAGTCCTGTCAAATCTCTGTTCATAAATCATTTTATATATTTATAACTATAAGTTACCGAATATGCCAAATATAACTTAGGTTGACCGTTATAACTCCAATAAGAGAAACCTGATAAATCTGACGCAATTATGGGATGCTTTTCATCCCTTAATTATTCCAAATGTAACTGAATCATAATTGAATTGACAACTTGCCTGTCATTGTATGTTCCGCTAACTTCACCAAGCATGGGTTGACAAGAGGGGATGATATTTTGGGGAAAATCCCAATAGGAAGGGAATACACATATATAATAACATCAAATGAATCACCATATAAAAGATGACATACATATTAATTAGATGATATCATAAACACCTAGAATTCATTATTAAAGAACCACTGCACTCTCCCCCTTACCTAGCCTGCTTATTATGCCAAAAAGACATCTCTTAGCCACAAGGCTTTCTTACTATACAGGCTCTGCCTTCGAGTTTCTTTGCCACAAGGGTATAATTCTCTGCCAAAGAGGCAATATTTAACTATTCAAGGCTCTAACTTTGAGTACAGATCTACTTATGACATAAAACTGCATAAAATAAACTAGGCCTCAAGCAAGACAGACATATAAGAAGAGCAGTATTGCTATCTTGTGCAGAATTGACAATATCAAGGGTATTGGGAAGCCTCACAAGTGTAGCGTGATTTACAAGTTTAATGAGCTCTTTTTTCTAATATACTGTCTTATGAGATTTAGCTCTCCTTTTGGGCTTTTACTCGTAAGAGGTTTCCGTACTATTTGTTTTACAACAACAAGCGCTCCAAATAAAGATTGTATCAATAATCTCACAAGCCTACTCAAAAACCTGTCTAGTTTCATGTCTTTTGTCCTGCCTAACATCTTAGTACACCAGGGCTTCTCAAGAAAGAAATTCTTGAAGTTATTGATGCAAAATCCAAAGTCTTGAAATCTTTAATTTTAGAAGAAGGAACTTACATTAAAATTGATGGGAGACTCGCCTCTTGTCTATTTGATATCTTTTATCCTAATCATAACTCCCTATCTCAACAAGTTGCCTTAAATTTTGAATTTTCCATATATGGAGGGATTAGATCTTGTAGAATTAGAGGAGGGAAGTTTAGGTTAGTGATGTAGATAACTTTCTCAATTTTAATTTTGCTTTTTCCTTCCCTGCCTCAGTAAAGCTATCTTTGCCTTTTTTTTGGCCGAGCGGCAAAAGAAAATTGGGGTTTATAATGTGTAGGATTTACTCCATAAAAGGATTAATATTTTAAAAATTTTTTTTATGAAGGGGTAAATATATCAAAATACATCTTTTATAGAAAGATATGGTTTAATCTCTTGTAAATCTCATACTTTCCCTTGTTGTACATTCTAATGTTGAGGGGACTGTTTTGTACCATAATTGTGAAGTTATATATTTCTGCCACAACTTCTCCTTCACTATACATAATTAGGATAAAACCTCAAAACTATATAATTCTCTACAAGTTGGTCCCTACAAATTTTCATGTATGTCCCTGTTAAATTATCGGATGTCACAATTTCTTCTAACTCATCATTTGAAAAGCAGAATTTGAATTAAATTGATAACAGGTAACTGCAACTAAGAAACCAAAAATGAAACAACTCTCACAATTTCAGATTTAGGAGTTGGAGAAGTCTTCTCAAAATTCATACCTTGTTGTTAGTATCCCTTGAAAACAAATCGAGCTTTATACTCTTAAATGCTTCCATTAGTAAGGTCCGGGCCAAAAAAAGCTATTTTTTAACATTTTGAAATAAAAAATATATAAGCCATAATGGTAATGTTCTTGTTCCAAAACCACATACCCTATAATGGTAATCCGTTTTAGTTAATATGAAATTTTGGTGGCTATTAACGTCTCTTGATTCAGGTATACTCCTCTTGTAAAGTGTTAAACATGCCATTCCCAGCATAATTACTCAAGAGGCAATAAAATCCAAAGCTACTCTTTAATGATTATACAGGGTCCGTTAGGTATATGTTTATCCCAATGGCAAATTAGAACACATCTAATCCCACTTTCCCAATCTATATCCATAATCAAGATTCCCTTTGTCAAGGAAAACCCTAATCCTCCTGATTCATAATTAATATTGGCCAAGCATCAACTAAACAAATAAATGCGTGTTTGAACAAACAAAATTAACATTAAGCACAAATAATTGATTCAAACATGCTGTGATCCAGTTCATAATAACTACTCTATGTTAATAGAACATTAGCCATGTTAAATGAAAGAACAAGAGGAGTATGATAGAGTAGAGCACAAGAGGAATGAAGGAGAGCTTAGGAGAAAGAAGTCAAGGACACTGCGTTGTCAGCAGAGGAATGGGGAAATGGGGAAAGATAAAATCACAAACAATTTACACCGCATCAAATCTAGATGGAGAACAACCAAGCTAAGTGAGACTTTGAGAGTTGAAGGAAGAGTGAAGAATTGAAGCTTGAGAATGAGATCTGGGGGCAGTTGGTGTGAGGATGGAGGGACTGAAGCTCTCTTGGTCTCTAGTAGTTTAAAAATTAAAAAACATATATTTAAGGGATGGCCTTTTAATTATTTGACCCAAATGGGCCCAACGTCTAACCCATTTACTCATTTTGGGACCTAATTTTAAGCCTGCTGGTCCTCAATCTAAAAGGGTTTAAATGGGTTGGGCTCTAACAGCTCTACCCGTGGGGACCTTATGACATTTTTTGCCTTCATGAACAGCTAACTCCCATGCATGTCGAGTTTTTGGAATGGCTTGAATCTCCTCTATCGTAGCACTTTGCCGCTCAAATTTTTCTATTGCTTCTAAAGAAGTTGGGTGTGGGGGTTCGAGACATACACAGAAAAACTACAAAATGCATAAATTTACTTTTAGTAAGCGCTTGAATTTTTTGGTGGTATTTCACTAGAGGATCTTGATGCTGAAGAACTTGTTGATCTTTTGGTACTTCTTTCACTAGGTGAGGTGAATGAAAAGGAATATGGACTTGTCAATGGAGGGTGGTGTTGCTTGTCTATTGTCAAACTCTAGTCTATAGGGATTCAAATAAGAATGCCTCCCTTGTTAATATTCCATTCCCAACTAGCCTCTTCATTGGATAGAATATTCCTGCCAACTATTACGTTAACACTTACAAGATTATACAGATGACATGCTTTGGTCTGACTACTATAGCCAATTTAAACTTTAGTTCTTTTTTTCAATTTTTCATCAATTGAAGAATGAAATTTAACCTACACATATGCTAGACAACTAAGAATTGTAAGTGGCTTACCTGAGGCTTCTTGCTTTTCCGAGCTTCATATGGGGTTTGATTCAAAAAAGCATTTTTTGGAGAGATAATATGCAATGTTATTTACCTTGTTATATAAATTAGAATTTATTGATACTGTTTGCTGTTCACTATAACGTTGCCTCTTCTTTTTTCATTTGTTTCTATACTATTTAGCAATAGTAAACAGCTATGATGCGCTTGTAAGTTCTATCTGTTTTTTGATTCCATGGCATGGGTAAAAAGCAGCTTGCAAGATTTATAACCGATAGAAACTAATTCCATGTGTTTCAGGTTAAAGTATTTGAGCAGGAGATCAATATTCTAAAGAAAAAGGTTAGCGTTATATTTGTTTATCAAAAGCATTCTATGCATTATATTCAGTCTTTTCCTCTCTGTTATAATGAGAAGGTATTGATCAGAATTAATTCCTTCTAACTTAACCTTTTATTTTAGTAATTAATGCTGCCTTTGGAATTCTGAAGTTAGTAAAGACAAGGGTAGAATGAAGAAAATGGT